TTTTGGAAGGGTCGGCGCCTCTCCGACCTTCCATGTGGTTTCGCCCCTGAATATAAGGAGTTTTCACGTTCTCATGCATTGACACATTTATATGTGAAGTCGTTTTTTACCCAATTATCTCCTTTAATGAATTGGACACGGTCAACTCCTTATTTCTTAAATTTGGCGTGTAATCCTCCCTTTTAGAGCAAGTTTCCTTCAAATAGAATTCATGTATGTGATTAGGAAAACTTCAGAAGTTCGTTTCCAAAATCGTGCAGGAACATGACTTTCCATAAATAGTCGATCTTCCAAATCTAAAATACTTACGATGAATCTTTCCAAATTCTCATTTTCTCAAAAAATGGTCAAGATCCTTCATGTAAGGGAAGCTCTTCCTTTTATACTCTTTGCCACATATTTCTTGCACTACAAGAGAGAAAAACCTAATTATGACACACAATCCAATTTATTAATTGAATATATATGTTTTAACATCTGAGATGAGCTGGACGAATTCAGAATTAGATACTACTGTTAAATAAAGATACAACCGAACAGAGCACTCGGGTTTGGGGGAAGACGAGCAAGAGCAAACCCTGGAAATGGACGCAGATGGGCGCCGAGCTAGAAGCAGACAAAACATTTAGGTCGTACAATTGTAAGTGCAAAACCGACCTAAAAAGTCATTATGGAACAAAACCGAGCTCGAGACTTGGGCAAAATGAGAAAGATTGATTTGCAAGGACTCGAGCCGATCACACTAAGGCAGCAGAAAGGAAAAAGTTATTAAAATAATGAAAACTTGTAGTCACATCATCAATGACGGGATAAGTCTGACAAAAGTCTGCCCCGCCTACATGAACAAGCTCCAAAGGTCATGCGTAGTATTAAAATTCAGGTCATTTCTACTTAATACCTGCCTGAGGAACAGTAATGGGGGCATAGTACTACAAATGGTCCTAGGAATCTATGGGGAAAGGGTTCAGAAAAATTTCCTGTAAAAAAGACATATATTCCTTCATTAAATATAGTCTTAAAGACAAATATCCCACCACAATTGTGAAATTATCCGACATCATTATTACTTGATTTTAAGCAAATTCATCATACTATACCAAATTTAAATTGTTTAATCCCCTTGAAACCAACACTAATTCAGTGCCTCTAGTTGATAAAATCTCATCATCAACAATAAAATATATATTATGTAATTTTTTTCCTAAATCATTAGGATTCTATAAACATACTATAATAAATATGAACCATACATTAATAATAATAAATTATAGAAACTTAATATTTGACAAGTAAATGAATAAAAAATTTCACTTTAATTTATTTTGATTGCCTAACAAGAAACTCTCCTAAAAAATTCTTAGGTTTGTCGGACGGTGTAAAACTAATTATTTAACAAGGCTTATGATATTTTCTAGTTTAAAGTATTAATATATTTCACTTGTATACTTAAACATTATTTCATAATGCGAACACACATTTCATATAATTATATAATAATTACAACACCAAAAGAGTCGAGCTCGTGATACCGAACTATTATATAGTCGAATCGAGCCCAACCCTTTAAGTTAACGAGCTGATAAATGAGAACAAATTTCGCTCATAAACAAGCTGCATTATACTAAAAAAAATTAAGAGTTATATAAAAAATCATATTTTTTTATTTAACGAATCAAATTGAATCAAACTCGTTAATTAAACGAAGTCAAATTTGATAAATTTATCAAACGAGACGAGCCGATCCGAGCCAAGATCGAACTTTGACGAAACAAGTCACGCTTGGCTCACTAGCAACTCATCCCGTTTAACAATTCCAATAATAATAACACACAACAAATCTTGATTGTCAACCTGCGTTTGCTTCTATACACAAACTTTTCAAAGCAAACGGTAGCAAGTCCACCACTAAATAAAACTCTAGAAACCAACTGAATAGAATAAAAGTAGTTCAGCACCAAAACAACCACAAAGGCACCAATACTAGCTGATACCTAACATTCAAATGAACTAAAGAACACTCTCAAACTCCCAGTAGACTAAACTGTCCTTAAGATTCAAATGCTGAGGAGATCCGGAACAGGTAGTTCGGAAGACTCCAAACCCGATTTCGGTTGAGCCACATCAGAATCCTTCGAGTCTTCTAGTTTTGCATCGGGTGGCTTGGGCAGCTCGGTCAGCATCTGCACAACCTCCCGCATGGTAGGGCGCGCGACTGCCTGATCCTCCACACAGAGCATCGCCACATGAAAGACGTGCATCACCTCATGGAGTGGGACAGTCGGGAGCCTTTGATCGAGGATCTTGAGCACGCCTTCAGTGACCCCATCTGTCATTTTCCGAACCCACTGCACTATGTCCACCCCGTCCCCAAACTCGCCAACGGGCTTTCGGCCCGTGACGAGTTCCAAGAGAACAACCCCGAAGCTGTACACGTCACTCTTTTCGTCCACCCTGAGTGTGTATGCGTATTCTTCGAGAAACAAAATAACGATCAATTTAGAGAATGGAGGTAAGTTTTTAGAAACTAACCAATCAATAATGTTGTAAACATTGGTTTACGGGATGAATTTGGCTTTTGTCATGAAATAAAAATGGTGCAACAAAATCCACCAACCCAGTTAGGTTATCCAATTACCAGATACCTCATCCACATGTGAATCTTGAAAATGGAAGAAGAATATTGTGCATATGCTTATGCATATACCTAATGTCAAATGGTTGTTGAAACTAATGTCATGAAAGGGACTGATATAGACAAACACGGAGAAACCACTGAATAGCCAAAGATCTCTCCTCAAGACTACGAATCAGTCAAAAGTAAGCAAAATTGACAATATCACCAAAATGAATTAACGGACTAAGACAGGACAAAAAAGTTAACGACCTCCGAAGAAACTAGAATATGCGAAAGATGATGAAATTTAAATATGCATTTACAAAATTAATTAAAGATACAGTACCGGGAGCAATGTAGCCATAAGAACCGGCAATGGCCGACATGCACTCGGATGTCCCAGAATCCTGCAAGAACTTGGCAAGCCCAAAATCGGCAACATGGGCCTCAAAGCCCGAATCCAGGAGTATGTTATTCGACTTGACATCACGGTGGACGATCAAAGGCGAGCAGTCGTGATGCAGATAGCAGAGACCCTTGGCGGCCTCTACCGCTATCTTGTACCGTGTGTCCCAATGCAAGTGGCCTCCTTTCTTGCTGTGGAGCATCTCACCCAGGCTCCCATTGGGCATGTACTCGTACACCAGCAGGTTCATCTCATGATTTGAACAGAATCCCAGTAAACGAACAATGTGCCTGTGCCTGATCCTCCCCAGAGTCTGTATCTCGGCACTAAAACCATGGTCATGGTGAGAGGAGCCGCGGCCCATTGTCGCCAGCCGCTTGACGGCCACCATTTGCCCGTTGGGCATAGCACCCTTGTAAACAATTCCGGCCCCACCCTTGCCAATAATGTTGTCCTCTTTGAGACTATCCAAGACATCATCGCAAGTGAAATCCAGACGTTGGAAGGCAGTGAGCTTCCAAGAACGGGTCCCTTTCGCCTTCTTCAATGACCTGGCCTTGATGATGGCTGCCACAGCAAACAGGATCGAGCAAACAAGCAATCCAATCACGAGGACAAGCTTCATGGAGGGGGTGAAAGTCCCCTTCTCGTGAGTCCTAGTGGGACCTCCGGCAATACCCGGCTTGCAGGGCCCCAGATACGGGCCACAGAGATCAGTATTGCCCAGAAATGAGGTGTAATTGAAATAACTAAACTGGCCAGTCTCAGGAACCAAACCAGAGAGATTGTTGTAAGAAAAATCCACGCAGGTTAAACTCTGCATGCTAGCAATGGATGAAGGGATGCCACCCACCAAATGATTTCTAGACACATTCAAGTAGTTCAAGATTCTCATACCAGTGATCTCTGAAGGGATATCACCAGACAGCTGATTCCGGCTGAGGTCCACAAACGTCAACAGCTTGCATTTGCTGATCTCGGATGCAATGTGGCCCGAGAATTCGTTGTGGCTCAAATCCATCTTAGAGAGCTGCTGTAATTTCCCAATTTCAGCCGGGATTGGGCCTGAAAATTTGTTCCCATCGAGTAAGAGCTTCTGAACGGCCACGAAATTGCCAATGCTTGGCGGCAAAGGCCCCGTGAGGTGATTGTTCGAGAGAGTAATCTGCCCAAGACTCGTAGATTGTCCGTCGGTCTCAGGGAAAGCACCAGAAAGAAGATTATCTTGAAGCTCAACTTGAGTGAGTTTAGGCAGACTCAATAGCCCTTTTGGAATGGACCCATTAAGATAGTTATAACTCATTCGAATCCGACTCAGTGACTCGCATTGACCCAGCGAGTCAGTAATCGGGCCGATGAGGAAATTTCCGAGAGTGATTAATGTGTGAAGCTGATTGCCCTTACAAATAGTCTGGGGCAAGTTTCCAGTCAGTTTGTTTGAACTAACATCGACTTCCTGAAGATTCCCGTTAGTTCCCAAGTTGGGAGGAATAGTTCCGGTGAAATTATTTTCCCACAACTGCAGAACCTGTAGCTCCGGCAGCTCGCCAATAAAATCAGGAATAGAGCCAGTGAGCTTGTTCCTGAAAAGGTTTAAGAGGGTTAAGTTTTTGAGCTCGGCAAACGAGGGCGGTATTTCACCCGAAAACACATTGTTTGACAGATCCAATGATCTCAAGCTCTTCAGGTTGCCAATCTCCGATGTGAGGCCGCCGGAAAGTCCATTTACCTGCAGAAAAAGAGTGTTGAGGTTCTGCAGATTCCCTATCTCCGGCGGGATCTCACCGGTAAGCCCGCTGTTGGCTGCGTCGAATTTCACCAACTGCGACAACTTCCCGATCTCCTTAGGGATTCCACCCGTGAAAGCGTTATAATACCCAATGTAAAGCTCTTTGAGCTGAGTCAAGTTCCCGATTTCCGGCGGTATTTCTCCGGTGAGCTCATTACCGGAAACAGCTAAGTACTCAAGGTGAGGAAAAGAGCCGAACTCCGGCGGGAATCGACCGGTGAAGAAGTTTCCGCCGAGATGCAGGTGGCGGAGATTGGTGAGGGAATGCGCCTGCGAGGGGCAATCGCCGGTCAAGTTGTTGTTGTACAGATCGAGGACCTGGAGGTTCCCGAGGCGGTAAAGCTGCGGCGGGAAGCTGAGGTTG